TATGAACTATTTAAGTTATTTGATCTAAAACTATTTTACCTAAATTCTAAGAGTCAAGCTTGTGGGAGCTGTTTCGATGAGGGCTACCGTGCTTGAATTCGTCGCGAGAGGCGCTAGTGTAGAGTGAAATCTCTACAAAGAGTATCTGCAAATGTCAAATGACACGGAATGTTTACTAAACAGTAAACATTCCGTGCTCGCAAACGCGAGCTTTTCATCGCGGATCTTGGCTAATTTTATTCATGACTATTGTAAATATTGTTCCTGATTAATTATGGCAGACACGGTACGGCTCAACAAGTGTTATTTCTTTATAAGAAGAGCTAAGAAAAAGTCAATATTTTATCTATTTGGTTATTATATACTAGCGACTCACCCTCGCTTCGCTTTGGGTATCTTCCTAGACAAAAAAAAACATCTATCTTAGGAACCGCATGTTTTTCTAGAATGATAATTTTTAGGATGATAGAAGCCCTCCTCAGTATACATACGGGCTATTCAAACAAACAAACTCTGCCTCTTTATAATATTAGTACAGATTATTATTTAAAACAAAATCCTGGTAAAATGGCGCAGCGTTAACAATTCTTATTATTATTTTATTAAATTTATGGCCCTGCCGCACTAGCAAATACTTTTTCAACCACAGCGATAGGACCTTACTCGCCAGTGGTGGCAATTTGTGCTACCAAAAACGGTAGCCCTCACTATTATGGTTCACAAGTTAATGTCATTTTCAATAAATAATAAGTCACAACAAATAAAAGACCATAAATATTCACATATCAATTTTATTAAAACGTCTTTTCTCATACGAAGCTTGTATATTCATCTAATTTACACCAAACTACCTTGCGTATTAAATACAATAAAACTATGCTCCACTATTCAGATCAGAATTCAGTTTAGTTGCTTTTTAAAATTTATTATATAGCTATATGTAAACGTACATTTAATAGATATTTTAAAAATAATGCTTAGAAGTGAACAGTCCAAAAACAGTCAGGTCCGAATGCAATGCAAATGTAAGTAAGTACATAGCCTCCAAATTGCACATAATATGAAGTATTGTAGTTTTTTAATAATAAAATAATAATAAGAACTAAATCTATGATTATTTTAGTAATATTAATGTACAATATGAAATTTTAAGCTACTTTTACAACTCTTAGGCATGGAACGAATTGAAGAAATATACGGCATATGGATGATTGTGCAAAAAATATATATTATACTATTATACGATATTATTATTAATAATGTTTAGAATTTAAGCATGTGAATAGGATACGTATTATACTAACTTCATATTTAAATAAAATATAATAATGCCGAAATCTTCATTGTGATTTATCTTTACGTTTTTTTTGAGTAATAAATATAAACGAAATAGTGTAAAATAAAAAAAAATAATTAAAGGTAGCCATTATTAGTATATTAAAAAAAGAAACAATAAGCGAACTTATGATATTTTGTATATGTTATAAAAACGTATGTTGAATGGTTTGGTTTCTTTCACGAGTTTTTTGACTAACTTCAAAATAAAGCTTCATTGGTAAAATAATGGTTATTCTTTTAATATATATCATATAATAGTTTTATGGGATATTGTATATTGTAAAAAAATGAAATGTGCCTACATATGAAATGTATCTATCCATAATTATATTTAAGTACATAATATGTACACACATACAAAAGTTGTTATATGACTTAATCACTGACTAATTGATAATTAAATTTGGTCAGATGATAGTTTGTTTAATGTAGAAGTCTTCTGAGCTTTTGAAATTTTATTTTTAATGTTAAGCTTTTTAAAATACTTTTGCCTGTATGTACCTATATGGAACTTCAGGACTATATAACACATTCATCCATATTCCGAATGACTTCAATGAATGGCAATACATCTTTTTAACATACATCGATAGCTATATGAATAACTCTTTCATTAAACTTTTAATAATCGTAAAAAAATATTTTAAAAATAAATTTTAATTTTTTAAATAAGTAAATATATTTCTATTCTCTTTTACATCGAATAAATAAAATTTATTAATTAATTTTTATTATTGCTCGTGATATGCGAAGTGATCGTGTATGGTAATTTTATTCCAGCAATTTTGAACTTTTTTTTGTAAAATTGACTTGAATTTAAACTTTTTTTTATTGTCCTTATTGTACAAAATAATGTGCTTCTTAAATAAATATAAATATCTTAATTAAAAAGGAAGCCCAATTCTAGGCTACTTTTAAATTTACAATTAATATATAAAAATAAAATAAAATAATTTATCGCAAAAATGTTTTTATTTTTAGTGAAACACTTGTTAATTATTTAATTTTTCGAATAATGTATTTGCAATTTAGCAATAAAATAGCTTATTTACAATAAAATTCAATCCATTATCGTTATAAATAAATAAAAGTACATTACAATCAATGTTTATCTGTAATATAACAAAAAATAATGATTTTGAACCATCATGTATGTACAAATACAACTTAGTTATTATATTTCTTTCGCTTATCTTGGCAATAAATTTATATGATTTATTAATAAGAAATAATTGTATAGTAATAGTTGTAATGACTTCAGTAAGTACAATGAGTAATATAAAATAATTGTGTTCTTTTATATTTTGAAGTACCCTTCTTATACTAAATTTAAAACTAAAAGGCGCATCTTTAAATATCAAAATATAAATGTTCTTTTAAGAAAGAAAATTAAGTAATGGGATCTAAAATCAAAATTCCATATTTTTTTAACCCGTGTCAGGGCGGGCATACATTCGTATGGGGTAGAGAGTATCTGTAATTTATTATTTTTTCTTTTTTATATTTTTATTTTTTGAAAGAATGCTTTTTCCGAAAAAAAATTCAATTCTCTATCAATCGCCTTAAGATTTTTGGCAATCCATATTTTTTATATAAATTGATATAATAAAGATGCGACTTCAAATACTAACGAGTAAGCACATCCAGTATATAATAGCTTTTATGAACTTGAACTCTTTCAGTCAACCTTCGCTTGGAAGACTAACATAACTTTCTAAACATCTATTTCTACCCATATATTATTACAATACATACAATGTGTATACAGATGCTATGTAACGGTTACAAAATGGACACAACCGATTTTTTTTAATCTATAGAACCTTAGTTAAATTATTCTAAGTCCCATATCAAAAAGTATGACACGCATTACGAGTAAATAGTAAATTTATTTCTAACACGGAGTATACTATAATGAGTCTACAATGAAACTTTATAGACCAAGAGCCTGTAACAAAATTGCTTATTTAAATTATGAAGTAATCTAACATACAAAATATTATTAAAAAATATATATTAATCCATTAATGTCCACGAAAATAATAATTGGCAGAAATTATAATTTATCTTTTTTTATCTAAATATTATAACACTCCAATTTTCTTTAATCGATTTTTATGACCAAGAATTGATTTAGAGACATATACAAAGTAAATCTAACAATACAATAATTATATAATTCGAATTATTTATTATACAATTGCTCCTGGTCTATATATGTATGTATATGTTAATAACAAACACATTCTAGACAAACTTCGACCTTGACTTTTTCGTGATACGATGGCGATAACTTTTAAATATCAACAGGTATTTAAGTACTTAGAAACTATTGAATGTGAGTATGTTGTTCATCTTGGAACCATTCAAGTGTTAAGATAATTTAGAATTGTCCTCAATACATTAATTTATCATTTGATCAATATACAAGTCTACTTTTACAAATGACTCTTTACATTCCTTTAGTGGTGAACATCTTCACATTTCATCGATACATTTTACTGAGAAAGATATAAAATCCAGAATCCCGTTCTTAATTTTCTTTGAATTTTAAGACCATTACTTTTATCGGACCGAGAAAAATTCTATAGTCAATATGAACATTATTTCCGTATGGGAATTAATTTTATAAATAGACACATTATAATATATTATGCTTATAATATATACACTATTTATGTTAAATACCCTCCTCGAAAGTTTATTTGGAGTTTACTACATTATTTTCTTTCTCGGCCCTTCTAAGAAATGTTTTATTAATGTCTTTGAGTTTAGCCTAATTGCCTAAGCATATTTTGGTCATGCCTCCATTGATGCAAAACGTCATGACAGGCACTAGAAAAATGCTTTATGATAAAAACACGTTATGTTTACATCACATGTTATTAAGAAATATTCATATATTACAATGTTGGTAAAAGATTCACGTTAAGACTATGAATGGTGACTTTTTATTGGCCACCTTCAGTTAGGATTCACTCGCGCAGTATTTACAATGGCCTTTCATACTGCTTGTTTTTACAGATAGTTCATCCACGCTAAGCTTTAATAAAAAGCACATTCAAATTATTTGCAATAATTACAGCTGGTTAGCTAGCGAATCTAATATTTGTCCTTTTAATAATCATTTGTCCCTATAGGGACCTGGAGATAAACCTCTCTTCACATATTAATAAAATAGATCGCTACAGCGATTTTTTTAACGATTTTCTTTAAATCCACTCACTAATTTAAATTTAGCATTCATATTACAAATACACCACATTTAATTTGTAATTCGAACAAGCGTTAAAATGTTAACCATTTCGTCAAGTGTAAAATACACTGTACATATAGGTCGTTAGCTCCTACACTTTGTTTGTGAGCAAACACTTAAATTGACGAAAACCACATCTAAATTAAGCACATTAGGTGACTCGCACCAAAAATATTTGCACAAAAACTTGAGAAATATAAAAAAAATAATTCTATTATTTAAATGGCTCATAAAGGCCTTTCACGTCGCGCAAAGTAACTTCGTTGGGAAATTAGGCGTTTATATCACACACAAGCGAACACACAAACACTTAAATAAGAGTTTCTTTCCCGCCAAGCTTGGTCAGGTCCTTGTACGGACACTGGCGTGGTGGGCGATCTCTTTTGGGCTTATGCTCTGCATACTAGTTTTTCGACGTCAATATTGTCACAAACTCTGAAAAAAATATGTTGTATTTAAAAGTAGGTAATATCTTATATAATATTGTTTTTTTTTTAATATTATTCGTATGAAAGTTTATAAAGAATTCTGGTTTTTTGTCAATTAATCGTAGTTTAAAAGATATGCATAAACATTGGTATATGATCATCAATTTTGATATAACTTTCATAGTAGGTATTTTCGTTTTGGACTTATTAATAAATCAGGCTATCAGAATATTGAAAGAAAATGAAAAAGCTACGGGTTGAAACTAATAGCTTATAATTCTAGGGACTCCTACTCCCATCGCTTAGGACCTCATTGCTAAGTAAGTTGTAAATATAATGCAAACTTGCTTTAACCACGTGGTTTAAGCAAGTTTATACTTACAAAGTTATTCTCTATGGGCATCACATACAGACGTTCATTCCATTCACGTTACAGTTTTGTTATATCACAGATCATATATTACTATACTAGCAGTTATACGTACATAACGTGTCACATCTATCTATATGTACTCGTATATGATAAAATTCTAAATGGTTTAAATTTGAACATTAAATATTTTTTTGAAAATCTTTTTGAAATATTCATTATTATCGATACAGAAGCCGAATCTATAGTTCTTAAATGTTTGTTTGTCTGTCTGCCTGTCTGTCTATCTGTCTGGGAACGCATCATGAGAAAAGCATTGGACAGATTTTAATAAAATTTGGCATGATGATAGCTGGTTATCCGGGTCAACATATAGGATACTTTTCCTTGCTGGAAAATATCTCATCTTTGAGAAATCTATACTAACCGTTAAAACGTACCAAGGGACGAATCCGAGCGAAGCGAGGGTGATTCGCTGTACTTTTATGAAGCTAAAGAGTTTGTTTGATAGTGCTAATTTCTGAATCTACTGGTCCGATTTGAAAAAATCTTTTTGCGTTTTATAGCCTATTGTTTGGATAAGTTTATAGGCAATTCCCATAACACTACGATCTACAAGAGCAAGATTATTCTATATATTAAACGACTAGAAGTTGCTAGTACTTAGATATGCGAATAAGTTATATTTTAAGAATAGTACATTTTAATAAAATTATATTTTGAGAATATCATATTATAAAAATGAAGATGATAGACATGTCATTTTTCAAATTTCGTAATAACGTACCATCGTAATTGACCATGCCGTCACCATCGAGGTCTGCCTCACGGATCATGTCATCTACTTCTTCTTCACTCAGTCTCTCGCCCAGATTGGTCATCACATGTCTAAGCTCTACAGATGATATCAAACCATCGTTGTTTTTGTCGAACACCCTGGAATTTCGGTGCGAAAGTTTAGGTATTAAAAAAAATAAGATCTGCTGACAATTTGAAAAAAAATCAACAAGGCAAGCTTTTTATTAATTTTTCTTTATTTTTATTAATGAAAAATGAAATGAATTATGCCTAGAAACTTTTAATGCATTTAAGTGGTTTTTAAAAAACGCATTCTAATACGTAATGTATCAGACTATAAATTTAATAATGCACTTAGTAATTAAAAAAATAATTCCAAACAATATATTTCTTTAAGTAGTCGTAATATTATACCAAGTGTGTATGTACTTAATTAACAAGTTTCTATTAAATTAAACGTAAAAGCTCACATTATTATGTAATTTTTATCCCGTGTCGACTTCAAAATCAATTTTAAAGTTAATATTCCACCCCATTGAGTGGAATATTTTCTTGAAATTTATATGGCGTTGTTCTTGAGATGAGGTTCACAGTTAGCGAAGATATTGTGTAAAAAAACACACACTCATAGCTGCTTTTTCGGCACGTCATCCTTTTTTAAAGTCGGTAAAAAGTTTGTTTCTAAATTGTGTAAGAAAACCAGTAAATATCAACCAAGTTGGATATACGAACATTTAGACAAACGTAAAGATAATAATGTTATCAGTGACGAGAGCTAATTTCGAAAGTAAAATCATGTCACAAATTTGGTTCATCAGTGAAGGAGAACACTTATTTATTTTATTTATTTCATAAGCATACTTACAATATATATGTACGTGTGTATATTAAACATTAATACACAAAATTATATGAAAAGTAACACGTTCACTGAGATAGGGGGATGGGCAAAAATCCATCTAGATTAGTCTTAAGTCTGGGAAAACTCATGTTTTCGAGTTTTCATGCGGTTTTCTTTTGCATTATTCTACGCAAAATATGGTCGCTAATTTCGCAATTTCGATGACGGGTATGATGGATCAATGGATGTATGTTTGTTACTCTTTCACGCCAGAAAGGCTGAATGGATCTGGATGAAAGGCACAGTGATAGATTATAGTCTGGAATAGTACATAGCTAACTTTGTATCCCAGAAAATGTACGGTTCCCGTGGGATAGATTTGTTCTTATATATTAATTGTGGCTAAAAAATCTCTAAAATAAAAATAATAATGTCCCTGGGTACCTGAATGCTTCTCTTAGTTCATCTTCTCCATCAGCTCCGCGCATCTTCTTGGACATCATCTGTAGAAATTCATTGAACTCGATCGTACCATTGCCATCTTGGTCCACTTCTTTTACCATATCTCGGAGTTCAGTTTCTGTAAATAAATATGATTTTAAAAATCTGTGCCAATTGTATGTTGTAGTAAAAACTTAAGTATTTGTCATATTTTAATGGCTAGCAGGCCTTCAGGGTCTATTAGTCTTTGCCAGCGGCTTCGCTTTCGTGATAAGCGGAATGGGAATCAAGGGTAGCCTTTATTTAAACCCCTGAGATTGCATCCTGATGCAATTTATATCTTTACTAACTTTTATCGAAATTTGTTCAGCGGTCCAAGAATGGAGAGGTAACAGACAGTTACCTTCACATTTATAATATTAATATAATATTAAAGTCGCTGGAGTCCACAGAATGCGGATGGCAGAAGACCGGTTATCGTGGAAATCTTTTAGAGAAACCTATGCCCAGTGTTGTACATAGTTTTCAAAAAAATAATATTTCGAAAGTCATCAACAATGAAATCAAATAATAATTCCACATAGTGCTTTCAAAATGACACAATTTAAATGTAACGGGAATATAAATTCCCAATTTTAGAGTTACGTTCCATAAAATGTTAAATTAAGGGTTATATTATATATATATATATATATATATATATATATATATATATATATATATATATATATTTCTGTATTATGTTTATCCTTGTGTCACCGATGTTTTAACTAGATACTTAAGGTTAAAGAATTATTAACTTCTATAAACAAAACGGTGTAGTGGAATAATAAAAAATAAGCAATAAAAAGGAAAGGTACATAATATGGTCGACCTCCATCTTGAAAAAAGTAAAGTTTTTTAAAAAAAATACCTTTTTATTTAGGTTCAAAATTAGGTGTAGGTACAATGTGTTTTATTGTAGGTGTAACATATATACATTATACATACATAAATATTATATATTCTACATAATATTAAATATTATACATTATACATATATAAATATTATGGTACGGAATCCTCGGCGAACGAGACAGACTCCAACTTTGGCAATTTATTGGTCAGAGGCTTTTTAATGAAAAAACTGAGGAAATAACACGCGAGCCATAAATAAGACGAGATAGGTAGACATTTAATTTCGAGGGTACCTCATAAAAGCTCCAATTCTGCTTTATTTTGTTTTCGACTACAATTGGATATATTCTGAGGAAAAAGTGACCAAAATACAGTGACCCCTCGCAATGTTTTTTATGTGTTTAGCCATTTTTTACGTATCACTACTGGACACAGCCCTTCTTTGAATACCGGGGGAGCATGAGGTGATAGTCCACCACGCTGGCCAAGTATAGGATGACGAAATTTTAAAGTAAGTAAAAAATATTTTATATTTCATGTAAAAATACTCTTTACACAGGAATTAAATAAAACCGAAAACGATCATAATAATTAAGGTTTATTTAGACATATTAAAAGAGAAGAAAGAACAGACAGACTATTGTAATAAGTATTGTGATATATTGGATATTCAAGAGCAACAAAATATAAATGTGTTTGTAAACATGTATTTTTAATTTGTACTTTTATTTATCTGTTTAAGTTAAAGCTGTTAAGATTGTTAATTCTGTTTAACTAAAGTTCGCTTAGTGGTCCAAGTTCGATCATAATTACTGTTGAAAATATTAAATTATGAGAGAAATTGCAAATTTAAAAAGTCTTTCTTTTTTTTATTGATAACATAAAAATATATTGATACAATAACGCTAAAGCTCGTCAAGAACTGCTAAACAAAAAAAATGGCTTACAGAGGAGAAAAAGATACTGAAATATTTTTTCTTTGCCTATTTATATAATATGGATATAAATTTTTGACCGACTTTAAAAAGAAGGAAGTACTCAATTCGGCTAAATTTTTCGATTTTTTTTGTTATGTGACATAAAAATTTGTTATGATAATCATTATCACAATTAATAATAATCATATAATAAAAATAATATAAAATTAATATATTATTATGATAATTATTGATAATTTATTAATAATTATATAATAGTTGTTAACTATAACCGTATGTATACCAATTGTTGATGATTTAATTTTAGCCAAATATTTCTTTTGGGCACAATAATTTGAAATATTGTACTGAAATAAATACTATACTAATATTATTATTATTGAATTAGTTTGCCTTTGCCCTTCTGTCAAGCAGTAACGGATCGACGTGATTTGTGTGATGGCATTAAGGGTAAGGCTAGCTTGGGACTTAAAGGATCGGATTGTAATAATCTACATATATATATTATGTAAAAGAGAAATATCACTTACTGACTGATTATTCGCGAAATCCGAATTAAAAAAATTAAATTGACTTAAAAAAATACTTAAAAGGTATGATTTTTTTATATAAACCAAATTAACTAACAAGAACAAAATAAAAGGTTCCCTATATTTTTTTGTGATCGCTACTGCCAGATTTTAACAAAACACCTATTAAAAACGAAACAATGCGATATATATTTGATAATATATTATATTTGACGGCTTTACTGGTTCGTTCGTTCACACAAACAAATAAACGAACAAACAAACTCTGCCTCTTTATAATATTAGTAAGCATAGATTTATTGAGAAATATTATGGGTTATCTTAAATCACACTACAACCTAAGACAGCTGAAACCCCAGTATGTGGCCCAGAACCATTTTGTGGTATTGCAAAACAACATGCCTATTCAATTCTCAAAATTCACTGCAATCGCCAAGCACTTCAAGAGTGGCAATCCACTTCTGGACAAATACACTCTAAAGCGCTAATTAAGGGATATCGCAGAAAGTTTACAAAAGAGTTGCTTCAACTCAACAAGTATAAAACCAGTGCAGTAACCAGAATACTTACTGGTCACTGCAAACTCAATAAACATATGTTTACCCTCGGCCTCAGTCAGACCGCAATGTGCAGACTATGCCATGAGACAGAGGAAACTGCTATGCACATCCTCTGCTCGTGCGGTCCACTCATGCACCGCAGAAGTATCTATCTAGGGCAGCATATTATGCAACCGGAAGAGATACAGATGCTCCCCGCTCAGAAAATCTGGAAGTTCCTGGAGTCAACAGGACTAAGCGGAGAACTTTGAACTCACTATAAAGGGAGCTACAATGGACCAAAACTGGTCGACGTAGCTATGGCCGACCTTGGCACCACACCCAACACAATAATAATAATAAGACAGCGGAGTAATTCTATAAAGTCTAACTACGCCGGCGGAATCTCGATAAATCGCCAGTTTTATGATAAACTCTTTTTTAACTTATTATATTTCATAGTATATTTAAGAATTTTTACACTATTTAGATCAATTCAGGACAGTCTAAAGCCATCGAAATTAAATAGACCCAGTAAAACTGGCTGTTGCTTGATAAAAATTCATGGAGACCCATTCATCGCGGCCGCAAATTGAAATGTCTGTTCATTTATTCATTGGTATTCCGAATATTGCAGTAATGAATAACGAATGATGCTTAACGGATACGCTCGGGTATTAAACTTTTAATAGCGTAAATACATTCAAATTTTATCACTAGTTTTTCCTTGCGGCTTTGCTTGCATGATGAAAAACCAAGCAGAAAATAGCTTAACTATATCCAGTCAGTCAGTCAGCAATCTATGTGGTTGTCAAATATAATGGAAATCTTTTTAAAATTCCTTCCAATTAATCAAACAAAAAAATTGAAGTGTGGTGGAACAAACAGAGTTGTTCTCACATTTATAATATTATACTAATATTAGTAATTAAAAATTACTATTATTTTGCATATTGACGAGTAAATTAGTTTAAATATAAACTTGTAAATAATGAGGTATGCAAACAAATATCAGTAATTTTTACTTGGATATTTATCAATGTTACTCAAAACATAATCTCATATAATAAAAAGTGTAACTGATCGCTGTCTGTACATGGAAGGTATTTGAGAAAAACTATTATTAGGGGTCTTTATCAATGCAATAGAATCCAAACAATGATTTTTAAAATTTTTGTATGTTTGTCCGTGCGTTTCTACGCGCTAATCTCAGAAACGGCTTAATCGATTTAGTTACGGATTTTACTAATATATTGTGGTAAGCTTCGTTTAACATTTAGTATATGTTTTATTTCAATCGGGTTATAAATAAAAAAGTTATGTCAATTTAAAGAATCACATAGGGACGAAGAGTTGCTAGTATTTAAAAGAAATCTTCTCTTTATACAATGCTTAGATTATTATTATGAATGTAGAATTACCAGTAAGATTTCCTTAAAAAGAAAGAACATTAGTTCCAATAAATTTCAATAGATAGCGGATACCTGTAATGAGTTGTTGCTTATGTTTATGTAAAATTAGGTACCTATAGCACATGGCACATTAAAAAAAATACAACCTTGTATTTTTTTATTTATCTCTTAAACTAAGAACTAATATTTCGCCCACTTTACTTACTCGTCCCGTAAAGTAAAAATATTGAAACGTTAGCCAAACGTACATTTTTCAGTGCAATTCTCTCTGTTTTGTTCTTTTTTATCTAAACCATATTATAATGAACCACATCAACCGAGTATATAATTCACGTTTCAACAACAATTTTGTAAACAAAAATATTATATCATATATGATAGAGTCTAACACCTCATCTATCGGTAACAACTGAAGTGATAAAGAACACTCAAAGGGGCAGATGTGACATAATGACTACTGCTTATGTTCCAGACAGTATAAGAGACGATGAATAAAAAATGACAACACCGACATGTTTCTAGTTACGTTAGAAAGGTGTTATGGCTGCTAAAAAATGTAAGTTTGCATTATAAGTCTTACTTTCTTATTTTTGGGATATTGTGAGTTCATCCGTCTTTTCCAATTATAACTAGCAGAGCGAAGGGTGAAATTTTAGCAGAGGTAAGCCGTTCCAAAAATATAGAATTTTTATATACGTATCAATGCAAAAAGAAATAAAGCTATTACTATATACTTCGATCAACAGTAGTATTGTTGATCGAAGATTATATATATTTCCAAATCAACATTTATACATTGAAAAAATAAATGTATGTAAAATTA